GTAGGGGTGACAATCATCTTCAAATTTTCACTTGCAGACTTCTCCGGCACCATTTTCCTCTGGCATGCCTCTCGTTATAAAATCCTTCAACCTTTTTACATCTGACAGTTTTACGGGGTTAACTAGGAAATCCTCTGCTCCTTCCCCCAAGCATCTGCAGATGAAAAGAATGTTTTAGTCATTTTTTTGCAGTTCAAAGACGGGTGAACCACCGCAGGGCAAACGTTGTCCCCTAAGGGAATCGATCTGATTTTTCATAATCTATTCATCAAATATATGCTGTAAATGATTTTCAATCACAATTCTAATCCTCACAATATTATTTAGGAGGCATGAGAACCAGACAGGTAATCATTTCTTGTTTATCAAGGTATGGGGTTGGTCTGTTTCTAAGTTAACTAAAACTACATGACGCAAGTGTCGAATTTGGGTATACATCGGGGTATGCCCGGTTTTTCTAAGTTGTTCTACGTACTTGGAGTCCTTGAAGGATCGTATCTCCAGAGGACATCGGTATTTAGAGCAAAAGGAAAAGAACTCGATGCAACATATAGTCCTTTTCCCACACAAATCCACTAAAGCATACAATCTTTCAATCACTCGTATAAACAAAGTTATGATTGACAGATTGTACATATAACAATGGCTCAGAATCAATACAATCGAAGAGATTCATTTGGGGGTTATGCTAAAACAAACTGAAAGCATGTGAATTATATCAGATTTCCTCCGAAAGAACATCAGCAGACTTAGAGAAATGAATCAGAAATTAACATATTCCCAGATAATCCAACCAACTGGGATTTGGGGTTCACAAGATCTATGTATTCAGAGAGTCCTTCTGTGTTTTAAAAGGCGCGAGACGCTCCAAGGCGATTAGCTACCCGAAAGCCTCAATTTTTGAGGCGCTTTGAGGTGAAGGATTCACGTACGCGAGGCGCTTAATTTTACAAAACATTTGTAAATATTTTATAACCATACCTCAAACACAAAACAACTTAATAATTAACTTAATAAGCAAAAACACCAAGAAGCATATGTCATATTGTATCTCAAAAAGACAAATAAAAAACATCATCAATAATCAAAATGTCTAAAACTCATCTTCATCATCATCGTCATCAACATCAATCCCAAGCACCTCCTCCTCCCCATCATCTTCGGAAAGTCCAATATCTTGTTCTATCTCTTCATCGTCTTCATCAATCAAATTTAGTCCAGTAAGGCCTTCTACGAGTGGAGATTTGGGCAACACCCTTTCCTCTATCTCTTGATGAACTTGATGTAGATGTTCTTCTAGTGGAATAAGTAGCTTGAGATGCCCCGGAAGCTTTATCAATAGCATACCATGTTAAATCATCTCTATCAAAGACAAAGTCGTCCTCCTCACCATCTTCATCGTCCATATGGCCCATCAACCACTCGTTGCTTTCATCTATTTCCTTCAAAAGAATAGGATCTGTGGTGTCCTTTCTTTGATATCTCCGTCGCAAAACACAATTAAACTTGGCATACACCATGCCATTTAAACGACTTTGTGCCAATCTATTTCCTTTTTGAATGAAGTTGTTGAAAAACGCTCAAGTTCCACTCGCAACCCGTAGCACTACAAGTTAGGCTAAGAACTCGGATTGCAAATTTCTGTAACTCCGGTGCTAAGGCTCCATATACAAACCACCAATCCGCTATTAACATATAAAATAAATCAAGATTTAATTTTGTGAGGTATGATATATATATAATATACTGTTGTGTAAAATAAATCAAGATTTAATTTTACACAACATCAATGATTGTTTAATCCGTAATATAATAAATTAATCTCAATTTCCAAAATAAAAATAAGACTCATGAATATTATTTTAGTGTAAATTATATTATATAGTTTTTATACTATAAAAAATAACCTCGTAAGCCATCATTTAATTTTTTTAACAAGATAAAAACTGTTAATTTATTAAAAATAAAAAAATTAAATTATAATAAAAAATTTAATCACAACCGTTTAAAATATAAAAAAATTATAATTACAATCGCAAATTAAAACACATGACAATTAATATTTTTTTTATAATTATTAACCCTTAACATCATACACAGATTATATAAGAAAAATATTAAAAAATTAATTAAATAGACTCGAATAAAATATACGAACAGGTTTGGTGTGAATCACCATCTTTGAAACAGAGTTACCCAGATAAATCATTACCACTTTTTTTTTTTACTTTTGCTTTTAGTATTCTCGCTCTCTCCCATCACAATCCCGGTAGGAGGCACTAGGGGTTCAGTCTCTGATCTCTTGAAAGTGAAACCAACAGTTCTTTGTGCGTGGGTTCCCCTTCTTTGCTTTTAAAGTAGCAGCAACACTACGAATCTAAAAAATGGAGTCTCCCTAATCTCAACAACAGCAACAACCAAAGAAGAGAGGTCGAAAACCCAAGCCAAAAGACGGGAAAGAACAGCAACAGCAAAGCGCTGCTAGAATGAAAGAAGGAAAGAAATGGGTCATTGTACGTAAATCGCTAAAAGCATCGCTTCGTCGCCTCTCGCCGTCTCTGACAACTGAATCGCCGCCTCATGTACTCGCTGCCGCCTTGGTGGTCGGAGGCTTTCTTCTAAACGCCTCGTCTCGCCTAGCGCCTCAGGCGCGCTTTTTAAAACACAGGAGTCCTTGAAGGATCATACTCCGCAGGGCATTGATATTTCAAGCAAAAGGAAACAAACTCGATGCAACATAGTCCTTTTCCCACACAAATCCACTAGACTATACGATCTTTCAATCACTAGTATAAACAAAGACATGACTGTCAGAATGTGCTGATAAAATGGCTCAAAATCAACACAACTGAAGATATTCATTCGTTTCATTTTTTTCGATATGGGATTATGCTAAAACAAATTGAATTTTAACCATGTGCATTATATCAGAAATGAACATCAACAGCAGACACAGAGAAATGAACATATTCCCAGATAATCCAACCAACATGGATTTGGGGTTCTCAATATCAACAGCAGATCGATAAAACGAAGTGAGTACCGATGGATTCGAGCGATGATGTTCTCAGAGGACATAATCACAACAGGGATTTCTCTGAAAGCCGAAGATTGCTGTTCCAAAACACAAACTAGATATAATCATGACAATATTGAAATCATGGTTAGGAATTGTTCATATAAATAGATTCAGTTGTAACCTTGATCTTCTTGAGGAGTTCATATCCGTTCATCCCAGGCATTGAATAATCAGTCATTATAAGATTCACCTTCAAACCCAGAGACCCTTCTTCTCCATCCAAACCAAGAAACTGTAAAGCCCTCGTTCCACTCTCAACATCCGTCACTACACGAAAACAACAAAATCAAACCCACTTACCAAAATCTAAAACCATAAAAGAAGAAGAAGAAGAAGTACCTTTACAAGAAGATATCTTGAGCAGCTTTTCAATGACCTTGCGATCCACGAGGCTGTCATCGATTGTAAAAACATGCAAATCCTGAGACCCAGATGGCAAAACTGGAGCAGCAATCGCCATAACCCAGCAAGTGTTTTTGTATGGAGGGTCCGGGATTGGATTTTAAATAAAAGAAAGATAAGAGTCATCAAAAAGACAGGAAAAAGGTGAAGATTCTGAGGATCCAGTAGTGTAAGATCTTTGCAATCTTTGAAGCAGAAAGAGGGGGCATTAGCCCCCACTTGTTCCTTCTCTAATTTACTTCTTTCAACTACTTCCACTTCCACTTCCACTTCCACTTCCATTTAATCTAACTCAAACTATATCACAAGTTTTAAAAGTGAAGTGAATTTTTTATGAGAAAAATAAGGTGAAGTGAATTTAGCATTTTATTTAAAACTTAAGAAACGAATATGAGCAAAGTTATTCCACTGATGTATTGAGAAACAAAGTTGATCGTATATAATGAAAATTATTTTTTTAACTAAGATGTTTGTTATATTACTTATTAAAAGTCATTTAGACTATACGGTGATTTCGGAAAGACCTCTAAATTATTTAATTATTTTTAGAGCATCACCAACTATTCATGTTATTGTGTATGTATAAAGATTAAAGAAGACGTCCTGTAATCCAAACGATTTTCAAAGTTGTCATGTGATTAAGGTGATTTTCAATGAAGACTATAACAACCACCCTAATTAAAAAAATAATTTGTCATGAGCTCTATATGATTTTCATAGTTGTTTAGTTAATAATATTTAATAAAATCAATTATATCATATATCATTTAAGTTATGATTTTTATTTTAAATTAGTCTTTAAATTTTTAATGATTTAATTTTATCTTCAAACTATGACTCTCATTTTAAATTAGTCACTAAATTTTGAATATTTTAATTTCATTCTCAAATTTTTGAATATTTCAATTTTATCCCAAACTATAGGTATATGCTAGTCGCATCTTCTGTTAATAAAGCCGTTAGACTAAGCTATATTATTATGTTTGGAAAAAAATGCTAAACTATGGTTGAAAATAATTATATATTTGGATAAATTTGCGGATGAAATTGAAAGATTCAAAAGTTTAGAGATGAATTTGGAAGCTTCAAAAGTTTTGGGATGAAATTAAAATATTCAAGAATTTAAATACTAGTTTAAAATGAGATTTATAGTTTGGAGATCAAATTAAAATATTTAAATTATAAAAATCATATACATATGATGTAGTTAACCCTATCTAATATTTAATTAATAAAATATGATGTAGTTAACCCTATCAAATATTTAATTAATAAAATATTATAAATCAATAAAAAAATGATTAAAACGTTATATTTTTTAAAATTAATAAAAAAAAATAAAACGAAACAACATACGTGAAAGTTGTATAAGATTTAGAATCATATATGGTTTGGGCTTTTATCAAATAACTGGCAGTATAGCTGAATACGGGCCTGAAACGAAACGACGTCGTAAAAATTTCAATTAGCTGAATACTGGCAGATATGGTAAGGTTCTTTCGAGTCGGAAATCATAATCGCAAGAAAATCGAAAATCCATCTTCTTGGTTCGGGTTGAATTCCATTTCGATCCCCACAAATCGGTTAACAAAGACAAAAGTAAAATGGAAGAAGAAAAGGCGGCAGCTTACTACGACGAGCTTACCAGGAAAGGCGAGGGAGCAGCCAGATTCAAGCGAGGCCTCGGGTTCTCCTCCGGAGATGATCAACACGACGCCGTTCCTCAAAGAGGCTCAGCATTTGTCTCTTCGTCTTCGTCCTTCCTCAGCAGCTTCGTCAGGGCCTCCAGTCCTACCACCGCCTCCAAGCTCGAGAAAGAGTCTCAGCTTCAATCCATCCAAAATAAGCTAAAGAAGAAGCCGGAGAGAGAAGCCAGGGTTTCCGAGAGAAAAAACGTAGAGATAGACCGAGATAAGCATTCGAGGAGCCGAAGCAGAAGCAGAAGCAGGAGTAGAGAGACAAGGAGACGAAGAAGCAGGAGTAGAGAGAGAAGGAGGCGGAGAAGCAGGAGTACGAGTAGGTCGCCACGTAGAGATCGGAGTAGGAAGAGGAGTAGGAGTAGGTCGCCTCGTCGAGAAGGGAATTCGGAGCGGAGGAGGAGGCAGGAGTTCGTCGCGCGGGAGTCATGGAGGTCTGAGAGGCATGGGGCGAGAGAGGGCAAATCCAAGAAGGGAAAAAATGGCTTTGTTGATTATTCGCGATTGATCCAAGGTTACGATAGTATGGTATGAAGTCTTTACAGTCTCTTTTCTGTTAATGTCTTAGCTACTTCTTGTGGTTCATTACATTTAACATTGCCGCTGTTTTTTCCCCTAACCGAACTGTTTATTATTCGCTTTATCAAGTAGTATTATCTGTTAAATTTAGCAAGATGTTTTAATTTAGTGTATGATAAGAAGTATAACCAGAAAAGATTTGGGATTTTATTTTGGAAGTTATTAGCATGTATGGAAAAAAAGGGGGGGAGGAGAGAGAGAGAAACTTGAGGACACCCTAGTTAAGAGTAGAACTTGAGTTGATTCTATTCTATTTGAATTTTATGAACCTACTATTTGTTCAATTTGTCCGATATTGAGAAATTGTAATCTATGATTCTGACTCCTTTATGGTAAGCAGACTGAACTCTATACCTTTATTCGTGAGTGGCTCTTTATTGGTTCTTTATCTTAAAGACTAAAGATTGACTGTCTGGTACATTTGGCATGCTTCAATCTTTCTGTATAAGGCCTTTTCTTTTCTGAGCAGTCGGCTGCTGAAAGAGTTAAAGCCAAGATGAAGCGTCAGCTTGCTGAAACAGGTAGACGACTAGACGATCCTATTTCTTATTTGGGTTTCCATTTTATCGATGTTCTAGTGTTAAGGGCTTCCGAGAGTGCCATCTGCAGTCTGTTGTTTTGATACTACCACCTTAGCATTATTTTGTTTGTGAGGTTGGTGCATCTTGGTTTATCTTTGTGGGAAATGGTGTGATCTTAAGATATCAAGTTTAGTAACCCCTAAAGTAGAAAGTTCTGTTGATCTCCATGCATTTTATACCCCGATGTGATCCATGTACTTTTCAAATTAAAGTTTCCTAGATCATCCTCATGGATTATTTACTGAATGCTTGCATTTTTTGTCAACAATAATATTTATGCTACTAAAAAGGAGTATTAGTGTATTGTTCTTTCATTTTTTGTTAATTTCAGGAATATATAACCTATGTGAATTTTAGAATTATGAATTTGTACAAATACCCAGCCTTATTACTAGATATTATCCTCTGAAGTGATCTTTATGCACCTGTAATTGGTCTTGTTTCTTCCTTGCTGTTTCCTAGGGTGATGACACCAACTGTGTTTTTAATGTTACTGTGCTTACTGTTCGTGATCTGGTTGTTTCGGACTTTGGCTTTGATGATTTACCTGGTTGACTGTTCTCTATTGTATTATCTTTGCCATCCTGTTGCCAGGTTTATGAAATTGTAATTTCATTTGCAGTAATGTTATCTGACAGTATTGTTAATTATGAAAGGTAGTGGCTGTAAGTCCTCAATTATCTTTCTAAACTAGATGGTTTCGTTCTGGTTTGTGTGTAAGAATTAAATTTTACATGCAGCTGAAAAGGATCCAACAAAAGGCCCTGGCTGGGAACGGTTCGAGTTCGACAAAGATGCCCCACTTGATGATGAGGAAGTTGAAGGTTAAACATCTATCCATATCATCTCATAATTGTATCTGAAAAGAAATTAGAATCTATCAGTGTCACGTGATACTTTAGCCTGTGGAAACATAGTTCCTCGCAATTTGTTCATTAGTTGGATTTCTGTGTTTCCCCATTTAGCTATTTAATATAAAATTTAACAGGTATTAGATGTTAAACCTCATAAGTAATGATGAGTATTAGTATCAGGCATTTGATCTAGGTAAATCATAATTCATATATACTTGCTGTCGAGAGTTAATAAAGGCTGGACATAAAATGAAGTTTACTGGTTTCCCCTCAAGTTTTATAGAGGCTAAAGCTGCTTTCACCTCTTTTGGACTACAATATTAAATTAAGGTCCTAACATAGTTTCATAAGCCTCTTTCTTGCTGGTCAACCATCTATTGTTTTAGGCCCTCCCAAATCGTAAATCCTACAAGCATGTAGGGCCTCTCTGCACTCAGTTCTCTTCCCTTTACTGTTCTGTATTCTTGTAACTCCCTTGCTCTTGTTTAAAACTTTAAGGGGAAGTTAAGTTTTTGTAAATCAAACTATTGATCTTTTACCTACATTGAATTGAATGTTTATTTTAGGAACAAACTAAAGTATCCTCGTTTCTCAAGTAAAGTCTTGATTTTGTATAATAATCTGAAAACTGACAATGTTCAATTATTTAGGGGAAACTATTGGTTATAAGTAGAGTTTTCAATGAATCACGTGATTGTGGGTTAAAATGATTATCATTGAATATGTACTTCACTTATAAATTTATATATTCGAGTTCACTTTGCAACCTTTAGCTTGAAATATTTGTAATCCTGGAATGAACAAAGGTCTACTAGAACTTACTTCATATGCCTCATTGTTGGCAGTTGCTGAAGATGATGCATCATTAGTGAAGCATATTGGTCGGAGCTTTCGGTTTTCTGCCATAGAGGTGATGCATCATTCCTTTTCATCTGTCCTTGTTTCAAATTCCAATTGATGTTCATGCATATCTGTTATGCTGTATGTATGTTATTTGAGTTTTGTGGGGGACAATTAGTTTGGCTGCTCTAGCATAACTGGTGTTGTGTTTATATGTAGGCAAGGTGGGAGGAGCAACTGAAAGCAGCTCACGATGAGGCCATTTTTGGCACAACAGCTTCTCTTTCTGTTGAAATAGATAGTGAACCAGAAGAGGAGAATCTTGAAAAGGATAACAATGATAATGGTGTTGCTACTGGCCTCCTAAGTGAGAAGGTGAGTGGATTCATGATTTACCTGTTGTTCAAGTTTTATTTTGCATATCACATGTGTGCTCATATGTATGCATGAGAGCAATGTATCGGTTATTCCCCATGGTTGTAGGTGCTATCAAAGCAACCAGGTTCGTGGCGAGATCGGGTTCGTAAAGCATAGGGAAGCAGCAAAAGACGAGCGTAAATGAGTGACTAATGGTTAACATCCGATGTCGACATTGCTGCAAGTAATCAGGGAGTAAGTGATATTAAACATGTTCATTCAAACTCGGAAACTGAATTCTGGAAGAAGGAAAAAAAAACATTTTTGAGATATACAAAATGTATTTTAAATATTTAAACAAGATGGGTTGAGTAAACTAAATATGTTTGTTTTACCAGTAGCCCCAACATAGTAGAACATTGTTGTCGTGGCTTGAGAAAAACTTAGTTTGAAAAGTGATAAAAATGCTCTTCAAAAGAGCCAATTTTCACCCACACTACATTATCAACTAATTTGGATTTGGATTTAGGTATTACAAAAGATATTAAGGTTAATTTTTTTCAATCCAATTTATTTCATGCACAATGGTAAAAGTTAAATCTTAAACCAATTGGTAGTGGGTGATATTAACTAAATTTAAAGACTTTCAATCCTTTGACATTAAGCATCTACATCTTGCATATATAGTGTTTGATATTTTAAGGAATAACAACGATTTTTTAATCACTTAGATTATTTAATTTGCTCAGTTTTATTATTTTAGGAGTGGGTAATAGTGACCAATCGATACGCTCTTTGTCCACTCTTTACTTGGAAGATTGATTTTTTAACAATAATACTTTTTCTTAAGAAAATGAAATTGAATACTGTAGAACAATGAAATAATTATAAATTTGATATATAAACGTAATTATTTTCAACCGCCATGTAAGAAGTGAAATAAATGGATGAGTCCATTGTCGCCCATTCTGTCTATTGTCATCCTCAATATTAAAACGACATAATATAAAGAATAGTATTTAAGCTACGCCAATACATAAATAAACAAAATTTATATAAAAAATCAAAGAATTTATAAATAAGATAATATCATAAAATAATATAAACATAGCACAGGAATGGGCAGGGCAAGTGGTAAGTAGCAACTCAATCACAAAATCATAGTAGTTGATTTCAAGAGGACTGGGTAAAGTTACAACATTTCTCATCCCTTGACCATAATTGCACATCACTGTTAAAGTCGATAGAGGTTGAACCCTTTTGTGCTCCGAGCAAAATCCACCGCCAGCCCTGTCACCGCTGCTAGCATCGAAGTGTTGCCTCGGTCTTACAAGCAGGGGAGGTATTTTTATGCAGTAGCCACAAAATCGATATCGAGCCACCAGTCACAAAATCGATCTCTTGGCCCCATTATCAAGTTGTTCGGTAGCATCATTATCTACACCAGCAACCAACAATAACTGAACTTGACTTCAAAATTAAACATAGAAATGATCTTTACTTGAAAATCGTATAGCATCCCATAAAATTTCGGAGAAGGATGTCGAGCATGACGATGGTATCTAGTTCTAAAGAAATCGGATTTGGGACTTCATGAGATGTAATTTGAATCAGAATCGAGAAACGAGTGCGTTTCGGGTTTTACAGTCCGTCTTGCTGTACAAGAAGGCTGCCAACATATATGAAACAAAATCAGCCAACATAATTGGAAACTAACAACATTTATTTAGCTTTTAATTATAACAAACATTCTATCAATATAATCATAATTTTAATTTAATATAAAAAAATTAGTCTTCTAATCAAGTAGTGACACGCGTGGCTAGAAATAAGCGTCACGACAAATGTCATCACCTAATTGGAGGATTGTTTTCCTATCATTTGCCCCGATTTTTCTTAGGAGTCCAACAATAACTTTTGTACAATGACTCATTGATCGTTCATATTAGGGTTGCAAATGAGACTAGACAGATCGCGAGTTATAAGAGATCGACTCAGTTAAAGCTTTGTCAACATTCAAATCGAATGGACTCGACTTGACTCGAGCCCGAGTTCTTAACAAACCGAAGCGAGTTGTTTGATACTCGACTCAAAAGTCTAGCGAGCTACTCGAACAAAATATATTGAAATTTTGGGTTTTCTAAGTTAAATTATTAATAATATTAACATTTATATGTTATTTAAAAAAATTACAATATTATGGTACTATTTAATTCTAATTTAAACGATTTTCTATAATCATATACAGTACATATATATTTCTTCATATGTGATATACACATATCATACAAAGTCGAGAGATACAACTCAAACTTAAAAATCAATCAATTAATTACTAAAATTTTTGAATCGCTATTTGAGTTCTATTTTATAACTCGAAACAAAACAATGATCTTTATATCTTTTGGGCCAATAATAACAGCATGCTTCAAAGGCTCAAAAGTAAGTGTTTCAGGGCTTTGTATTATAGCCCAATTGGAGGAAATAATGTTCTGATTTATCTTTTCAAACTGCTGGGCGCGGATCGATCAAATCACTCGGCATTTCGACCAAAAAAATAAAAAAAAAATAATAAAAAAATATATGGGTTTATAATTATGAATTTCTTGTTGAGAGAGTGAGCGATGTTCAAAGAAGGGCGCCAGCTTTATTGTTGTTATTAGCACTTTAATTCAATACAAAAATGAGTTCCAAAGAGACTTGCAGAAACGAGCTCCGCACTGCCATTCGCCAACTCAGCGACCGTTGCCTTTACTCTGCTTCCAAATGGTAACCCTTCACAAAAACCCTAAACCTTAATTTCTCTTTGCTTTTTTTTCCAGATTTGTTTTAAAGGAGAAAGATTGAGTATTTGACTCCCTTTCAACGAACCCATTTCCGAATGCATTTCTAAATTTAGTCTTTACAAGGTGTTAGCAGATTTGAACACTTTGCAAGTCTTTTTACTTGGCTTCTTGGAGTAGAACTGAGCTTTTCCGTTGGGAGTGCATTGACTTTATCTGGGTTGCAAATTAATGTGCCTTTTCCATGATGAAGTTATGCTTTTTATGCCCCATTTTCTCACTGAGATGCAATCTGTCAACTGGATTTTTATGATGTTTGATTCCTTAGATATATAATATATGTATGTAATCTCTTCTCGGTGTCTTTTAGCAATGCATCTTTGGTTGGTTTTGATGTACAGGGCTGCGGAACAGCTCATCGGAATCGAGCAAGACCCAGCAAAGTTCACACCTTCAAACACAAGATTTCAGCGAGGAAGTTCGAGTATACGCAGAAGATTCCGCACCAATGAGATCACTTCGACTCCTCCCACTGATGTTGCTTATGTGTCCACTCCGGTGATGGAGGAAGATGAGGCGATACACGGTGACTTCTACCTTCTAGCAAAGTCATACTTTGATTGCCGAGAATATAGGAGAGCTGCTCACGTGCTTCGCAATCAAACTGGAAAGAAGTCTGTGTTCTTACGGTGTTATGCTCTTTATCTGGTTTGTTCTCTTCTCATTTCATTATCTTATAGTATTTTAAACGCCTTATTATTTTCAAGCTCCGTGGTCTTGATTGTGTAAAATTGATTGTTGATATCACAGCTAGTTCATATATGATTTTTTTGTCCCATAAGTTTTAGTTGACCCCTATCTCTTGAGTAAACACTGGATTATGTGAATGAGAGCTTCATTTGTACCTCTATCATATATTATAAGAGCATCATAAATTATGTGGAAGCTTGTGTTTAATTTGGAGACATTGTGCCTAGTTTGAGGAAGGAAATAACATTCATAGTGTGGAAGTATATCTTCTCCCACCCAAATAAATTAAAATGTTTCCATAATACCATTTCATATTTTTTTTGTTTTACGTTTGCCATTTTTATTCTTATTTTTTGTTATCGTTTTGCTTCCATTCATTGATCAAAATGTTAAATACATGCATGGATGAACATAGGTGACTCCCATCTTTGGTGGCTTATGAAAAGTACATTTTTGATCCATCACGAGTAACCTATATCAAAATTATGCTGTGTGGTTATTAGAGTTGCTCCTCATGAAGTAACTTTGAAATGCTCAAGAAACTGAAGAATACCCAGCAAACTGATTAGAATCTGTGCCAAACTTAGTAAATTCTAATCCTGGGATTCATCAAACTTCAGATGTCAAAGTACCAGTATTCTCGTATTTTAGTTTTTGAAGTTCATCTAAGTTGGTGTGGTGTCTATTGTTGCTAAAAGGATTAAAATGGGAAGTTCATCTAAGCCTGTTATTGTAATCCATGGAAATTTCTTCGAGAAGAAAAAAGGAAAAGTGTAAAGCTGGCATGCCATTGAGAGTCTAAGACTGTATGTGCCTCTGTAGCTAAGGAATATTACATGCAATAGGGATTTTGTTTTATCTCTTTGATTTGCTTACTTTGATCTTTTATTTTTGTGTTTAAGTTTGTTGCCTGACTAATATTAATCCACGAGGAGGAATTTCATAACATCGATGCATAATCTAATACTGAAATACCTGTATGATATATTGTTAGCATTGAATATAATATACAAGTTTATAGGTCTTCTATTTTGATGCCAATGCTATCTGTTTTCTTCAAGCTATCTTATGTTTATGTGCTTTACTCTTTATCACGAAGGCTGGAGAAAAGCGGAAAGAAGAAGAAATGATAGAACTTGAAGGTCCCTTAGGTAAGAATGATGCTATTAACCGTGAATTGGTTTCTCTAGAGAGGGAGCTATCAACTCTTTGCAAGAATAACATGATAGATCCTTTTGGGTTGTACTGTATGGTCTTGTACTTAAAGAGAAAGGCAATGAAAATCTTGCCCGCAAAATTCTCGTGGAATCTGTAAACGGTTACCCTTGGAATTGGAGTGCCTGGTCAGAGTTGCAATCTCATGCACTACAGTCGGCATCTTGAACAGCCTCAATCTCAGTAATCACTGGATGAAGGAGTTTTTTCTTGCTAGTGTTTACCAAGAACTCAGGATGCATAATGAATCGTTATCAAAATATGAAAATCTACATGTTACGTTTACATTTAGTAATTACATACAGGCTCAAATTGCAAAAGCCCAGTATAGTCTAAGGGAATTTGATCAAGTTGAAGTGATATTTGAAGACCTCTTAAGGAATGACCCATATCGAGTAGATGACATGGATACATATTCTAATGTGCTCTACACAA